ATATATAAAAATATTAATTTAAAGTGTATCTAAAAGTCAAATTAATTCAAAAATTTTTTAAAGACCGCAGAGAGTATTAACCTCAACAATTTTTGAGTGATGGATTCCTTCAGACAATTGGGTCACCAGTTAGCTTTATTCAATCAAAGTATTTCCACTCAGGTTATACCAATTCCATATGTATGGATGCTTCCCTTTTTTTTTAAGGTGATATTTTTCTTCATGGAAAAAACTTGCAACGACAAAATCAAAACAAAAAATAAAATAAATAAATAAAAACTAAAAACAAAAAAAACTATTCAATCTCCAAGTCTTTGTAATTTAAGAGAAAAAAAATTAGTCTAGGAATGGTGAAATTCATTCTTCTTTGTAGGTGATCTAGGCAATTTCGTGGTTACTTCCTAGGAAAAAAACCTCTGTCCAATAATAGAAAATTAAACACCTGGGTTGTGATGTGTCCTCTTCATCCATGGACATGAAGTCTAAGCTGCCCCATCATCTATGGTAATATATGCCAAACCTGTATTAAGCCAAAGAAGATATTAGTGGGGAAAGCTTTCCTGAAAGTTCATTTGAGGGGAGAGTAGAGGAGAATAAGAACGTAAACTTCCTGGTACCAACACTGGCAGCACATTTGTGGCATTGCCAACAAAATGCATTTGAGAAAGTTTAACTTTAATTCGAATCATATAATTATGATTTGAACCATTTACGTAAAACCAGAATCCGAAAAATTACGATTTTGATTCGAACCACATTTATCTGATTTGAACCATTTACGTCAGAAATAAAAGATAAAATTTTGATAAGTTTCTGAAGAGAGTGGATAACTTTGGAAGCAAGGAAACACGTGAGTTGGAGTTCAAATTAAACCAAATGACTTTTCGAAGAGGTTCCAAACGATAAATTTCATGAAAACTCAGTTACTATCCGTTAATAAACTAATAATAAACTGAAAAGGAGCGTCTGTTCCCAACAAACATCTGGCACCTATAAATATGGAGTTATCTCTTCCTCTTCTTCGTCTCTTGAACCCAGAAACAAACCCCTACTATTATCTAAATAAAATAGCCCCTTTTTGCACTTTGATTGCTGCAGAAATCCTTGTACAAAAACTATTGTTTTGTCACTTTCCAAAGGACGGTTCAATGGTTGATCTTGCTAGTGCAAAGGTAAGATCAACAAGGTGCTTCATTGTATCCTACGGGTATTTCGGGTTACCCCTTTTGCATACCAGATCTGGTGGGGGCGAAATTAGCCTAAAGGAAAGTAGCATTTGCAGCATGCCTTGAAGCCATTTGCAGAATGCCTTGAAGCCATTTGTAGGTTTTCTACCCTATTTCTCCAACAATCTTTAGGCTAATTTTCTGTTTGCAATTATGGCTGCAACTTTGCGTGAGATGGCTACTAATTTCCAGAAGTTAAATCGCTTTGATGGGGGCAACTTTATTCGATGGCAAACCCAAGATGCACATCTTTCTCACAACTCTCAACATCATTTATGTTCTCACTGATGCTCGACCAAAGGAAAATGAGAATGAAACTTTGCAAGATACAAGGAAAAGGAAAAAGTGGGAGAATGATGATTATGTCTGCAGGGGCTACATCTTAAATGGTATGTCTGATTCCCTTTTTGATACCTATGTTCATGAGTCTACTGCAAAAGAATTGTGGGATAAGTTAGAAGCAAGATATATGAATGAAGATGCAACAAGTAAGAAGTTTCTGGTGACCAGATGGAATAATTATAAAATGATTGATAACAAATCAGCCATGGAACAATTTAGAGAAATTGAAAAGTTGCTGAATAGTTTCAAGCAATATGATATGAAGATGGATGAATCCATAGTTGTGTCTTCAATAATTGATAAACTTCCTCATGCATGGAAAGATTTCAAGAGAACATTGAAACATAAAAAGGAAGATATTTCTCTTGAAAATCTTGCTAACTCTTTGAGACTTGAAGAGCAAAGTAGAGTAGAAAATGAAAAGGAGCTGAAAGTGCAAGTCTCGGATGTCCATGTATTAGAGGAAGGAACTTCAAGCTAGCCCAAAAAGCCTTTCAAGAAGGAGTATTCTGTCAAGCAAAATAAAAAATTTAAGAAGCAAAAGGGTGCATGTTTCCATTGTGGAAAAACTGGACACTTCAAAAGGGAGAGTTATTTTCTCAAGAAGAAAAGGAATGCACCAGCATTATCACATGAAAAATTCATTGCTGTGATTTCTGAAATTAATCTCATGGAAGATGACATTGCTTGATGGATAGATTCTGGTGCTACAAAGCATGTTTGCAAGGACAAAAGTCTATTCAAGACTTCAAAACCTGAAGAGAGTGTGCTGTATGTGGGAAATTCTACAGCAGTACAAGTGAAAGGCAAAGGAACTGTGGACCTTGAGTTCACTTCTGGAAAAGTTCTCACTCTCACTAATGTGCATTATGTGCCCTATATTCAACAAGTTTGTTGAACAAATTTGGTTTTAAACTTGTATTTGAGGTAGATAAATTTATTCTGTCTAAGGGTGGGATTTTTGTAGGAAAAGGCTATGCTTGTGAGGGCATGTTCAAGATGAACATTAATAATAATACTAATAATAAGGGTGTTGTTTCTGCTTATATTCTTAACTCATTTAATTTATGGCATCATAGATTATGACATGTTAATTTCAGGAAGATGCATGAGATGTCTAAATCAAAATTAATTCTTACCTTGCCTAAAAATGAATTATAGTGCAAGACATGTATGCTTACTAAGATTACTAGAATTCCTTTTCCTAAGATTGAAAGAGTTTCTAAATTGCTTGATCTTGTGCATAGTGATGTTTGTGACATGCATGGTACTCCTACTATTGGTGGCAAGAAATATTATGTTACTTTTATTGATGATTATTCAAAATTCTGTTATGTTTACTTGTTAAATACAAAAGATGAAGCAATGAAAAAATTCAAAGTTTTTAGAGCAGAAGTGGAATTGCAAAGTGAGACATTTATCAAATGTTTAAGAACTAATAGAGCTGGAGAATGTTATGATCCATCTTACTTTGAATCCATTGGAATTATCCATGAGATAATAGCCCCATACACACCACAATAAAATGGTGTGGTAGAACATAAGAATCAAGTTTTAACTGAAATGGTGAATGCCATGTTGTCAAATTCTAATTTAAGTCCAGGTTTTTGGGGTGAAGCATTGCTAACAACATGCCATATATTGAATAGGGTGCCTACTAAAAAAGGCCAAGTTATCCCATATGAACTTTGGAAGAAAAGAAAACCAAACCTTAACTATTTAAGAGTTTGGGGTTGTAGAGCAATTGTAAGGGTACTTGAACCCAAAAGGAAAAAGTTAGGTGAAAGAGAAATTGAATGTATATTTTTGGGGCATGCAGAAAATAGTAAGGCATATCGGTTTATGGTCATTGAACCAAATGATTCAATTAATATCAATACTATAATTGAGTCAAGAGATGTTATCTTTGAAGAGAGAGCAGATTTAATTCAATTCCTAGACCTAAAGAAACAATTGCTGAAAGTTCAAAACAAAGAATAGAAGACAACTTGCAAGAAAACAAATTGAAAGAAAACATTGAAGTTAGAGGAAACAAAAGAGCTAGAAAAGCAAAAACATATGGTCCAAAATTTTACATGTTTCTTATTGAAGGAACAAGATTTTGTTATAATATAGAAGCTGATCCTGTGACATTTGAAGAAGCAATTAAGTCACAAGATTCAACTTTTTGAAAGGAAGCCATAGATGAGAAAATGAATTCCATAATGGGGAATAACACATGGATTTTAGTGGATCTCCCACCAGGTTGCAAACCTATAAGTTGCAAATGGATTTTAAAAAAGAAACTGAAAGTTGATGGCACAATAGACAAATTCAAGGTTACGAAAGAAAATGCATAATCCATTAGACCTCCATTGCACCCGTTGTTGTATGTGGTGTCACAGTCGATAAGCTCCTGCTCCGACAGCTCCGTCAAGTTTCCGGTGACAATCTGGTCTATCCCCTCCACAGCAGCCACCGTTGAAAACGCCCAACAACTCTCGCAAGACCCCTGGTTCTTCACACGGGTAACCCCTCCTTTCTTCCTTCAATCAACCGACCTG